TAATGATTAATGTTCTTTTTTAGACGAATAAGTTACACGTTTAATAAACTGAGCAGGCATTATGAAGGTCAAGTAACAATTTTTAAATAAACTATTTACTGAAATAAAATGCATAGTTAAACTCAATACCAACAGATTAAATAATTACAATTCTAAAACCATTTTAAAAAAGGACTAATATACACATGAAGTTTAGTGGAGGAAGATTAGTGAGATTCTGAGTGAAATCTCAGTGGAGATCTGAAAATTATAGACCAAACAGCCTAATCTTTCTCAAAGGGCTGATGCTACCAGACTAAAAAGGTTGTATGAGGATAACATACAATTGATTATACTAGACCCTTGGACCCCTCAACTCTCTGTTAAGGTCATTTCCTGCTACCCCATTTAGTGTACAAAGCTGATCTTTCTGTTCTTCTTGGACTTAGCTCTTCTTCAGATACACAAAGTTGATAAATATATATTTACAAAGTTAAAGCATCAAAATCTTCTGGTGATGCACAAACACCTATGGGAGATGTCATAGACCAGGTTTCAGCCTTCAAATATCTTTGCATAGTATTCCAATCCTTGGGAGCCTAGCGCAAACAAGTCTGTTTCCGTTAAGGTTAATAACAGCACTAAGGCCACAGTGGGCTTCCTTTACACCAAAGGAGCTAAGGACATACCAATGGCCATAAAGTTCTTTAGAGCTAAACTTACAAACCTCAGGTGTTATATGGCTCCCAGATATGTGTACACAATAACTTAAAGCCCTTAGATAACATTCAGTCCAGATTCCTAGGAGTGTTATTCTGTACCTTGCTGAGTCTTAAATGCAGCACTTCATATAGAAACTGAGGTGATTCCCCTAAAATCAAGGGCTTGCATATGCCGGTTTTATTTCTGGCTCAGGCTCCGCTTTCTAGTGACTCCCTGCCTGCCATGATCATTCTGGGTAATTTTTCCTTTTCCTAGAAAGCAAAATTCCAGAGTAATTTATGCCAGTGTGAGACTTCTCAAGTTCAGCCCTCCAGACCATAGGGTTACTGAGCACCAGAGTTGCAGTCTGACAGTGAGTGTTTGACATAGCTCTCCAGATAAAGCAGGGTGAATTAGGTCACCAACACTGGCAACATATAAATAGGAAACCTTTCACGCCAGCAAATTAACTATTCAACATTACCTAACACACTGCAGAGCTTTTTCCTTAGCCAGATTTAATGTCTTGCCCTCTGCAGTTTTGGAAAGGAGGTATAATACCCCTTTTGCAAAGCAAACCTGTCTCTTGTGACTTGGAGGAACCAGAATCCCTAGCTGATGTATTTCTTAGAGGCCGTTTCTAGAGTATCTTGCCCTACTCTTATAATTCCAGTGTCTCACTAGTTTTGAGGACAATTTCATTTGCTTCTTTCATTTGCAACTGTCCTGTAGATATTAGGGTTCTTGACAAGAGCCCTAATATCTACAGGAGAGTTACAAAAATTTTTTCAGCTACCACTGCTTTACACAGGAAACATATTAACTTTTAGGACCTCACTAATGTAGAATTCATTTTTCCCCTCCTTTGGAACGTATTTTCTGCTGTTTTGTGTATTAGTCCTGTTGTATTTACCAGTCACTGGCCTACTATCACATTGCAACTTAGTATTTAGTTGTGTGTGTGTGTGTGTGTGTAGAGGGGGCTATCATGCTTTTAGTCCAGGCTGCCTTGTTTTGTCCATGTTTTTAATTATTTCAATTTAGTATCATATTTTGAAAGCTGCCAAGAATCCGCTGGAGTGGGCAGCTATAATAAATGTAATAAAATAAATAAATTGTAAGCATTTTAGTTTTTTATTCACAAGATAGTTTATAATGCTGTTAAGTAGTGTTAATATTCAGATTTCCTAGTATTTTGTTATCTGCATTTATAGGGTTACAGCATTCTAAATTATTTTGTTTTCAGGAAAACAAACCTTTATTTGTACTTGTGACATCTTATAATCATTGAGAAAATGCTGGTCAGTGTCTGTAATTAAGTTAATTAGGACATTTTTTAAGGATCCATTTGCTTGAATCCTAGGGCCATACTTGGAACACAAGATGAAAAAATAACCAAGCCATCTTGGAACCAAAGTGGTCAGTTTTCAGCAGCCAATGGTGTAGAATAGAGAGAGATTTCCCAATCAGTAAGTCAATCTCAGAGCACTTTGTCAGCAGAGAGGTTATTTTAGGATTCTCTTCAGCAGATGGCAGGTCCTACTTCTCTGTAGTTCTGGGTCAGGTTTAGTCGCTGCTTCCTCTCTTGCTTCAATTCCCATTTGCACGATAGAAGATTGAGATTCTTGGTGTGATTTTCCAACTGGAACTTCAGGAATATGCTGAAATTCCTGTCTTAGGACTTTAATGGTGGTTTCAAGAGCTTCTTCATTCTGCTGAAAGAAATCTTCATGGGCCATATAAAACTCGCTCAGCTTATCTCTCACCACTGAGTCAACAGCCATGCAACAAGCCAAGGAACTGATCTACGATCAGAAGAGATGATAGGCAGCAAAATCATAGAGAGTAGTCACCAACCCTCTTCACCAAGCAGCCTTGAGCAATAATTTTAGCTTTACCCCAACATCAAGTTGAGAAACAATAGCAGTCCAAGGGACACCTAATGAACATTATTATAGCATGCTTGTTCATATTGGCACCTGTATCACTCTAGCTTACAAGTAGTCCTCATTTAACAATAGGGACCGGAAAATTGGTCGTCACCACATGACTGGACCCAATTTTACAACCATTTTTACAAGTTAAATGAATCAATGCAGTCATTAAGCGAATCATATGGTCGTTAAATAAATCCAGCTTCTCCAGTGGACTTTTTTGCCAGAATTTGCTTAACCATCATGTGATTTGCTTAACTGTTGTAAAAAAGGTCACAAATCATGATCACAAGATCGTGGGGGCGGTACAATTGTTGTAAGTATGAGTACAGGTTGTAAAGCACTTTTTCCGAAGCTGTTATAACTTTGAACTGTCGTTAAACAGTCATTGAGTGAGGGATATCTGTACATACTTTCCTCTTTTAATGAAGATGGGGAAATGATGGCTCTTTGGATGTTGCATGGTTATTAGCCATTCCAAATCATATAGTCAATGATGGATACTGGAAGTTGAAGTCATATTTGTGCTCTGATAGAGCAGGATTTGATACCAGTATTTCAGAATTTATGTATTACTTACATAAAATCTCCATGTAGTTCAGTGTATATGATATGAGAAATAAGGTGTGGTCACTTACTGTAGAGGGAAAAGGGAATGGCCTTGCAGGACAGGAGGAAGAGCAGCTACCAAGACAACATGACATTCGTTTCCTAGTCTGATCTACCTTGAAGGGCTGACATTTCCACGTTATTGTGGGCATATATTGCTCTGCATAAGGAAAGTAATTTTTAAATGAGGATGGGGCTTTTCTAAGGATACTGGATAACTTGCACAAAGCAAAGAAATTATGTGATAATTTGGCTGGAAATTTAAGTTCAGTTGTTCTAACATGACAATAAAATGTCCTTCTCCCTTGTATAGGGGGATGCTATAGGGATAACTCACTTTATACTGAAAGTTCACAATTTACACCAACAACTGAGGGCTGGCAAGTAGTGGTAATAGCTGTGCAGTAGGTTTGGTGTTTGTGGTATTCAGGAAATCCGTCAGTTTTCAGAATTTTAGAACAGAGTTTTAACATTGAAATGCAATTCAGAAAACAGTCACTGCTAAGAACTCACTAAAGCAGCTTTTGAAGCTATAGCATGGGAGATATGCCACTGTATTAAAACAGAATACTAATCCACCCTTGTTTCACCAGTGAAGCAGCTGTTAGGTGCAGAAATTTTGGATGTGACTGCACTTCCCCTGAAAGTGCAGTCCTTTGTCAGGGAGTACTTGTTGATCCCCAGATATCACTAGATTCACAGATGGTAGCTGTGGTAATATTTAAAACCAAGTTTCTGACAGATAGCCTTTCCATTACAAATCTCTCAAGATCTGCTGAAGGGACCCTTCTGAAAATACTGCTGCAAGAGGCTTACTTACCTGGCATGTGGGAGAGGTCTTCTCATGCATCATTCCCAGGCAATGGAATGCATTTCTTTAGGAGTTATATTTGTTCCTATCCCCACTTTAGAAAATCTGTAAAGATGTATATCCTTCACCAGGTGTTTGATTTTGTGATTTTAACTGATTTTATCCTTTTGTATTTTTAATCATTGTTAGAGGTGTTGAGTAGTTTTTTGAATAGAAAGTAGTAGTATAAATCAAATAAAATAATGGAGCAATAAAACATACACAAAAGTTTGTGAACCCTTTTGAATCACATTTTAAGTCATATTTATGCAGAAATATTGAAAATTCAAAGGATTCACAAACTTTTAAGCACCATTGTAAGATCTGTTTTTTTTTGTTTTTTTTTTTGCAAAAGACCCACTATAAGCACAACCTGCACAATGCAGTACAGGAAATCCATCTTATTTACATGACTGAGAAGATAACAGAGATAGAAGGTAAAGCCAGTAATAAACAGGACTTGTTGCAAAAAATTTAAAGGTGTGACCTCTTGTAGAAGTGATACAAAGCCCAGAAAAGGTGCATTCTGGTAAGACAGCATTATGTAGACCTAATTAATAAAAATGTAAGAAGGATAGACAGGGAGTCACCAGATTAAATGCTTAGCAGCCAAACACATTTATTAGTCTTTCTTTTTCCAGGAACCCAAAAATATTTTGTAGTTATAATGTAAGCAACTGAGTTGCACATAATACAATCATATCTTTAAAAAAATAAAATAAAAACAAAATAAAAACAAAAGCTGTTTAAAAGCAAAACAACCTTCAGAAAACATAATATATGTTTTATTACCATCTCTCAATTTCAATGAAATGACGACGACTCGATTCCTTATTCCTGTCAACTTGTTACACTCCAATAAAACCACCCTTTTGTTGGTTTGAAATCCAGCATGAGAAATACAGTACCCTGCTATGGCAAAATACATATAAATGCAACATTTCAGCTTATTTGTACATTAGTAGAGTTTAAACATTTTATTGTCTTTAAGTGAACCAGTGATTTTAAGTACCACTATACTAAAAATAAAGAAGAGAGGGAGAGGGGGAGGGCAGCATGCCACGCAACAGCACAAAGTGCCAAGTTTCTGTGTCCACATGAATCCCAGGGGTAAAAAGTATACTGAAATGAAGGTGATACTGGAGGAAATAAACCCTAGTATGATAATATAGTGTGCCTTTTCCTAATTCCCACTGTCCTGCACTGCTTAAATGGCCAACTGACAAAAGAAGATGGGTACATTATTTCAAGTATAAGGAAAAATACTAATAGGTATCTTTGCAAAGAGCCTCAATACATGTATCCGCTATTATGCCTGCTTCATGAAGGGACAGCGTTTTAGGCAATAGCATTTCAGCTGTACCTTCAGATTAGGTATTTATGTGCAAAGCAGAAAAGCTGCCTTTTTACTCCAGATGGTTTGGACATAAAGATAATTTGCTTTACAAATAAGGCTAAATGGAGTTAACTTCTTCCATTTTATATTAAAATATTTTCCGCTACAGGATATGCTCATTGGAAATGAAGCAAAATTTACTAAGTTGGACATCTATCAACAGTTTCCTGATCAATTCTGTAAACACAGCCCCACAGGAGCTCTAAAATTAAAGCAGCATTTCAAGTCTCTCTAAATAGTGGAAGCTATAATAGTTTTCTACTCTTTATCCTCCTCCTTTCCTTGTCCTGCTCCATCCAATGTTGCTGCTTTTTATTTTAAAAGTTACGTATTCTCCAAAAGACACAGTGCATAATTATTAACAAAGCAAAGCTGCAATGTTATCCTAGGAGTTTGCACTTCAGTCTTCTGTAAGAAATTAGAATCTAGACTGAACACAAATAAGCACAGATTTTTTTAGATACATCCACATCACATGGAGTTTGATTCTGTAGAATTATTAATCACAATAGCTTCGGCCAGAGCTGCTGCTTGAAGAGTAAAGGATGGAAAAATTCAGAAGACTGTATAATTAGAAGAGTTCAAATATACAATGGAACAAATATATAATGGAATCAAAGAGAACCAAATGTTATGTTTTTCTAAAATCCAAATCCAAACATCTGGGCTCAATATGCACATTCCTGAGATGCACGCCTACAACTGAATAATATGATCAGAAGAGAGAAAAAGAAGCAAAGGCTCCCTGACAATTACAGAATTTACCCAGACCTCTTTCTGTCCCAAAGATTTTGAGAAAGCTGTAAGGCATTTCACAAGCAGCTTCTATTAATGAAATTTACCTGTTTCCATGTTCTATTGGCATACAATGGCTTGTGTGTATTGGGAAGTAGGCAGCATGTTTAACCACATACACAGGGAAAAAAGTCAGATAGCATCACCATCCTTAAGCAGATCATTCAAACAAATATTGTCATTTTGTGTTCCTCTTGCAAACTGCAAGTGATGTTTCCTCTCCCAATCGCAGGAAGAAATGCTATTCCACTGAATGGTCAATCTAGCAAAAAGCCCATGTCTAATAAAAGCAATAGTAAATAGAATACATAAAAGATGGCAAATTATACATAGTTAAACTCAAGAGAGAGTGCATTTAAAAAAAAATGTACCTATTAAAGATTGGCATTTTTATGTTATATGTACAAGCCACAAGAGTGAGGCTAATATAAGAAAGAGGTAATAAAGCAATATGAACAGTTCAGTATTGTAATTTCTCCTTAATTGTAAAAAGTAATTCAGAATATGTGACATCTTAAAATGGAAAGGATCACTGAGTGTCCTTTCCCATTTTCTCAGGAATAGTATGGGAAAGGAGACATCTTGTTAATTACACCTCAATATAATAATACTTATAAAAAGTACTTTCTCTTTAAAGCACTTCATAAAAAAAAACATTTCTCTCTGTGTGAGAGAAATAAGTATTATTATCCTCATTTTACAAATGAGGAAACTGAGGCAAAGTTAATTGACTTTTGCATAAGGCTAAAAGAGGAAAGAATACAGGCCAGAATTAGAAATTTAGGGCTTTCATTCTTTCAATCCAGTCTTCAAAGCATTACAGGAAGATATAACTTTACTTAGTATTAAAGATAATATAAGATTTTCAAAAGGCTGGTTACACTAAAGGAGAATAAGCACCACGAGGTATTTTGCAACAAAGAGCTGAAACCTTTTCTCCTTTTTTTCCTTTTAAAAAAGGCATCTATCAGAGTAAAATCCTGATCAGATGACATCTGCAAGGCAAGTATGCACAAGAAAATGAGTGATCAAGTCTATTATTCATTACAGTACTGTGAAATCCAACAAAAGGAATCTGCATGAAAAACACTGAATTTTAGGAGAATCTCTTGGCTATGATACTGCATCCAAGATAATGCCAAGTAAACCAAGGCAGATGCCAAAGTTCACAACACCCAAGGCAACATACCTCGATTAACACAGGAAGCAGCCTCTGCATTTTGGAGGTAAGCATGTGAAATGTCTGTCTTTTAAAGCAACTTCTTGACTGTAAAAGTAATAGTTAAATCTAGAAGGACTTTTTTATACATTTCCCACTTATCACAATAATTTACCTCCATCTTATCAGTGGTACTATTACTCCTCAGATGGCCAATAGCCCAACTTTAAAGATCACTACAAGACAAATTATTAAATAATGCCAGTACAGTATATATTCTACGCTACAGCAATTCCTGGTGGGTATTGCTATTTAAATTGCATCTGTGATGGGAACTGGTGGAAAATTTTAGGACAAAAATTATGGAAAATCCATAAGGAAAAAACTATATTGCAACTTTGAAACAAAGACAATTTTAATGGAAAGCAAACAATAGAATAATCTCCTACAGACAGTGCTTGATTTGTGATTTCCTGAGGTTGAAAGGAGGATGGAGGAGATGATGGTGATAAATTCTGGAGGAGGGGTGGGAGGAAAGTTAGGGGACCTTTCATGTCATGCTGTTGACTCTGGTCTAACACTGCATGGCAAGAATGCATAGTCCTGTGTAACAGGCATAAATCAATTATTTCTGAAGAATTTTTAAATATACCAAAAATATTTGCCTGGCAATCAAAGTAGTTCTCCCATGAGCTCAACCTTATTCCTCCTACACGAAAGTGGGAATTCCATGGACACAGAAACAATTTCAACAGTTTAGCAGGGCTCTCTTCCTCCCCCAAACCATCTCTTGTTGAATGCATAGTTTACAATTCACTTACAAGATAAAGAAGCAATGCTGACCACATATGGGACCTTTTTTTTGTTTGTTTGAAAAAGAAACAACCTCTTCTTAAAGTTTAGTATCAAAATTCACATTTGCATAATAATACATTTCAAGGCCATTAGAGAGGAATGAGAGCGAAGCAAAGGAAGCTGCAGCATCTCTCCTCCCTTTGTCTTCCTGAATGAAGCTGAAGAGAGCCTGCTGGAGCTTTCATTTGGGAACGGAGCCAGAGGTGCTACAGCAGCTCGTGATTTGTACACCATGCTTTTGAGCTGGGGAGAAGAGGTGGAATATATATGAAACGAAAAGAGACACTGCAGATTCCCATGTTTAACTACGAAGAGCTTCAAGGAAAAGAATTAGGTATTTTTTAAAAAACACACACAACACTTCTTCCTCACCATTTCAAAAACATCTTTTCTTGTGTAATACCCTGTTCATTTAAATGGCAACATTAAGTGTGCTAGAAATTATAGGGTAGATTTTATTTTCCATCATCAAGACACTGACAGAGAGGGCAAAAATGTGCCTACAACATAACTGGCAAAAGCTACAAAATACCTTCTTCTCTACATGCATAAATGTATCTCAAACTTCACTGCGTTTCAATATTCCAGTGCTTTAAAAAGAAAAATTAAAGCAAGCCACATACACAAATGTAATGATACATAATACAAATACAAATTCAACCACCAACTGAGAGCTAGCCTAAATAATGTCAATTTATGTGAATTACAACCCATCCATACCTGGAAACATCTGCAATATCCGACTGCATATGATGCAGCAACAAAAGACACTTTTCATCAAAAGGTACCAGCAGGCTGGAATCTTTCATTTGACCTTTAGAGAGAACAAACTGACCACCATCTCCCTGTCAAGCTCAAGAACTCATCTTGAGCTGACAGTCACATATTCAAAAAGGCACATTCAATGATACCACATTTAACTTACTGCTTGTTTAAAATTAAAGACAAACAAAAACAACCAAAAAACCCACAAGGGAATGTTAAGCGCTTATATCCCAGATCCCAAACCTACTGACCTAGCAAGAAGCATCACAATATATCATTTCGTGAAACTCTACTCTACCTTCAGAAGGTTCATATTTCTTTAAGAAGTTAACACCTCTTTTTGCATAATTTTTAAAAAAATTTTTGGCTTACACAATTTGGAATACAGCACACTCTCACTATAAAGCTCTGTTGTAAGGCTAGTCCCTAAAGTAAGGCTGCTCTATCTCGGCTCCTTTTTATTACCTTTATCTCCCTGCCCCCTCTGGCCCAAACTACAGAACACTCCGCACGTTTATAAAAAAAGGGAGGGTGAGTAAATCTGGATGGGATAAGAAAAGCACTTGATATTCACAACCACCTTAAAAAAAAAAAAAGTATCTGGCAAGCTAAGCAATCTTTATAAGGAGGACTCAGCTAAAAGTTGTATTTTTTTTAAATACAGAAAAAATATCAATTTATTCTTTATGGTCAAAACATTGTAAGAAGTAAGGAATTAAGTTATTTGAATGCATTGATTGATATACTAATACCTAAGATGAGGCACTAAGCGTTTAAAAACAGCTTTTCCTCAACACTGCCCATCTGTGGTGTTCTATATCCATGGAACATCATCCCATATCCCTATTTTCTTCTGTTCCACACAGAGCCATATATCTAAAAAACAACACACACACACAAACACACACATATCCACAGGTTCCCTAGCACAATGCTTTACTTTCAATAGCTTGGAGTGCATGGGTTTGTGTTAAAATGAATGGCTATCAGACTCAAGTAAAAACATTCCAACTCTATGGCTAAAAATAATATAATACACATATAAGGATATATATCTTTAGCTGTCACCATTATTAATTATATGAAGACAAAATTGGCTCTTAACTGAGGTTGATTCCTTTGATCCTTCTATGGCCCATTTTTTGAGGTTTGCAAATACAGTATATCTCATACTGCACAAACTCAAGAAGCAAATATTTTGACATTTTTGCATTTATGATTGGTTATATTTTGGTGCCTATTAAACATTGTCCAGCTATTTTCACTTATTAGAGAATTTCACATGGCTGTAGGCTAGGAACTGTGTCTAGATAAATCTATTGGGTATATTCAAACCAAATCAGGTGGACTTTTTCCTTGAACATAGCACCTCTACTGACTCAGAGAACATTTAAAGGACACTTATGTTGGTCTGATAACTGCCAGCATTTTAGGAGGCCTGCCAATCAGAAGATCTAGATAGAAATTTGTTTCTGTTTGTAACACAGACAAGAGAAAGAATTTAATTTGGCTACTATTTGTACATATTTTAACAGTAATTTTTATAAATGTTCTCATCTTCAGCACAAAATTTATTTCAGCCCATGTGCCCAGGCTTTAAAGCAATGCTAAGTTTTTTCTTTAGAGCTTTCCATGTTCATAACAAATTAACAATTATTAAATTATTGTTTAATGATTATTAATTATTAAAGCTGCAGAGAGATCCAGATTTGAAGGGCAAATGTAATTTGGAGCCCACATTGATGCATACACAGTACTTGTCAGAAAGATCTTAAAGCAGCCGTGTCTTTTCCTGGGCTCACGGTAGCTGTTCTCTGCAGCTGGCACCTGATTCTAGGAAAAATCACGCTTGATTTGAATTGTTCCTAGCAGATGCTACATATATGTCTAAATACACTATGATCTCTGCACAGCCCTATTATAGTGATCAGATTTAATGCTACTGCATTTTGAAAAGGTTTAAAGCATTGAGATGAAATGGTACAGTAGGAAATTCTGCAATATATTCCTGGAATATAAATTAATACAAGGGTATTAGGACTCAAATCAGAGTTGGATACAATTTTAATCATACCTACAATGAGATCACATTGAAACCAACATAACAAGAATTATGACTTTAAAACTAGATCCAATCCCTTCTGTACATTAGGTCCACCTGCAAGATTTTAGTATACTATCAAGCCACACAATGGCTGACATTAATATGAAGACTAATTAGGACTGTCACAAACAACTAGACTTTTTAAGGAAGATGGAAACTGGAATTTATTTAATGATTCAAATCAATGCATGCTCCTGAGAGTGTGTGTTAAGTTCAGAATGCATCATTTAAACTGAATTTTAAGTAAATTTGTACTAAGTATAGAATGTTTTTGTTGTTGTATATTTATAAACAAGTAATATAGCTAAACTAAATAGAACCTTCTCTGTGGTTCTCAGTCAGCCCTTACTATAAAAATATAATAGTATGTAGTTATTTGGATGGTCAATGTTTAAATATGCAAGACAGAATTACATTATTTCACTTGCCACTGTATCAATTAAAGAGAATGTTATCTTGAAATAGGAATCAACTTTTGTTATATATGCTGATTTACCTACACTAATTAAAAAAAAAACCCTTAAAAGTAAAATTTAAAGAAAGTGTCCAATTATAGAACAGTAAATGGGTTTCTAATTCTTCATATGGATGCTATAATGAAGGTTAGTAGCTATATTTGAGGATATGTGGTAGTGGAGAAACATACTTTCAGATATCCCTTGACAAAAGGAACCAACAATTAAAAAAATCAGGAACCACTCTGCACAGGTGCACTGGGAAAGCCTGCTTCTTCTTCTGAGTTATTAGATGTTGTATTAAGGAAGGTTCTAAAATAATCATCCTGAATTAAAAAAAAAATCTGTTAGGACAAGACAAAAAACCCCAAGTACCTAACTCATCAAAGCCAGATTCTAAACAGTTCATGCTTAAAAGCATATTTAAGGAAAGGAAGGAAAAGTATCAGGACGGATAAGAAATTTTAATCTAAATTTTAAGTGAGCTTTATAGATTAATGTATATGGCCCAAAAATGAAACAGAAGTAGTACAAGCTTTTTCCCTTTCTTGGTGAAGGCATATATTTTTATGCAAATAGAAATAATGGGATACTTAGCTTTAAACTGTGAAGTGCAGACCAGCAATTCTAAGAAGTCAGAACCTTTTTATGTAGGATACAAAAGGCCTCATGAACTTTTTTGTAGCCCTTGGACTCCTTTTTGTCAAATGACATGAAAATAATATGACCCACAAAACACCTTAAAATACTTTCCCTGATTATTGTTGTTGCCATAGTCCTTCTTGAATGTAGCAAATTTTATATTAAGCTATTTACTAAAAATCTTGCTTGCTCAATATGTATCTTTAGTTCCTGTCTGACCCAATTTCCTTCTTCCCTAAAGAAACC